TTATCGAGAAAATTGTGAAATGTCTCTTGTACAAGAGAAGATTTATTGCTTGTATGAGTGTCTTACACGTTGATTTGCATTTGTTTTTTCATTTATCGTCTTTCAAGTTCGCACTGATGTTATTAATAAACATTTCACAATTTTCTTGATAAAGGTCATTCAAAGATTAAAATATTGTACTAATTTGGATTGGTTTTTTTTTTATATAGCTTATAAAACTGTGGTGATGAAAATATGCAATTCTATTTAAAAAAAATACGATGACCTTGAAATCTCGAAAAAAATGATCTTGAGAAATATTCGGTCCATTACCGTATTGATGCTTTCGAATAGAATATTTTTTCTCTCTGGAATTTTTTTCTATCTTACGAAATAAACGATATATTTAAGGTGGTTTAGTAAGGTGAAAGACCCGGTATAATATAGACTAGTATAATAATATTATATTATACTATTATAAAATTATCATAATATTTTTTATATACATTTTCAATATTATATATTTATTTAACAAATTAAGCTCATTATTATACTAGAAATATAGTGTATACACATATAATAAAGAGATATAAAATATACATTTAATAAAAAGTAGAAAATATAAATCCACGTAGCAATCATTAAATTATTCTTCTCGCGTGTTGAAGGTGCCTGTTATATTTGGTGCACTTATAGAATGTGTAGCAACATGTATATGCAGAATAGTATCCCGTGGATTAGGCGAATTTAATTCAACTTTCTGTACTATCATCGATTCCTTCGTTGGAACTTCTTTAGTCGTCGCAGGTTCGAACATATATTTTATCTTTTATATTGTAAATTTACGTATACATATATTTATATAAAATAAATGAATGAATGTATCTTTATTTACAGCGTTTAATTATTCCGGTGGCTACTTCAATCCTGCGTTGGCTACATCGTTGAAGTATGGTTGTTTAGGAACAACTTTTATGGAACATGTAATTGTTTATTGGGTTGGAGCTTGTGCAGGTTCAATCACTTCTTTAAGGGTGTACAATATGCCTTTTATTCAAAATTTTATAAATAGAAAAAAGGAGAAAAGTTCTTAGAGAAATTTCTTAGATTTTCGATTGACCAAAGATTTCTTCAAAGATTTTGTGTTCATTCGTTGTGATTGTTATTTAACATTAATATTTATTTTCTTTTTACCTCCTCTAGCAGTTTGTAAAATAACGTTGACAGTTAAATTTAATAGTTGTTATATATGTAAAAGTGTGATAAGTGAAAGACAAAAGAACGCACACATTTAGATGTACAAAAAAGTTAATTTATTATATGACAATAACTAATTCCAAGTGTACACATTATATTGTAGAAATCTTCTAATTTGATTCATCAAGTGGAAGGATTATTTATTAAATTCTGAATTTATTAATAATATGTATTTTCATACGCAAAGATATGAATTTGAATAATTATTTTCATGTTTTAAAACAAACAATGTATTTTTATAAATAACATACATATATATATATATATATATATATATATATATATATTTAAAAATCGCCTATTGAAGAATCCATTGAAAGAAAGAATAAAAATTTCATTTTGTAAATACATTGAATACAATAAGTACAATACACTCCAAACAGCGAGACACAACACATTTTTTCACGCAGATAAATCAACTGGAGAAGAAATATAAATATCTTACTATAACCTTTGACTTATTTATAGATATACATATGAAAAAAACGTTGCTTTAATTAGGGTGACAATGACTTTTTGATCTCCGAGATAAAAAGATACTTAACTTTATAAATAGGAATAACTTATTAAAAAAGTGTTGTTTTCTGTGTAAAAGAGTATCAAAAATTGAAAAAAGAGTATACACAGTGGGTGTTGAAAGTATTCGTACACCGATCAATTTGAAATAAAAGGTTGTGAAATTGTAGTTTATTAACTAATTTTTTATAAACAATATAGATTTGTACATATTCTTGAGAGTTTCTACAATAGATATAATGAAATAAAAAATAATTTTTTTAATAAATTAAAAAATTGACACACAAGGAAGATGAAAAAATCAGCAGAAACATACGAGCTATAAGTATTTGTACAGTTCTTATTTCGAACTATTTGCAAAAGAGTTTGTATATAAACCATTATGTAAAAACATGTCATTGCTTTATAGTTATAATTGACCTCGTCAGTATGTTTGTAAGCGTTATCGGCATCAGTTGAACTCAAAATTTTTTAAGATTGAAAATTATTGTCAAAAAATAGGACGAAAACGTGTGGAAACAACGATAGATTAAAGAAAAATTATTATTAATTTACATAATCAATGTAAAAGTTTATTAGAAATATCGCGATATTAGAAAACAGAACTCGATCTACTATAGAAAGTATCATTGATAGGTACGGATTAAGAAAGAACTGCAAAATAACTCAAGAAATGGACATCCACGAAAAATTAATTAGTACACTGGACGAGTTATCACAAAAATGAAAACAGAATCCAAAGATAAGTACCACTAGCTGCACTCATGCAGCCCCAAACAAGTATAGAACCTCCACCATGTTTCACTGTGGGTTGCAAATATTCTGGTTTCAACTTTTCAATTTTTTGTCCTCTATTCAGTGCAGTATCCATCAGATACAAAAATATTAAATTTACTCTCGTCTGTAAAAATAACTCGATTCCAGTACTGCACACATTGGTCTTTTAATGTTATTATTTGCGAATTATAATTTTTTCTTCCTATTCATTTCATTTATGAAAAACTTTTTACGAGCCACTCGACCATGAAAATGTGTGTGTGTGTGTGTGTCGATACTTTATATTAGTACATTTATATTACATTACATGTAAATGTAAATACAATGTTTCTGCCGATTTTTTCATTTTCCTTGTGTGTCAATTTTTTAATTTATTAAAAAAAATTATTTTTTATTTCATTATATCTATTGTACAAACTCTCAAGAATATGTACAAATTTATATTGTTTATAAAAAATTAGTTAATAAACTACAATTTCACAACCTTTTATTTCAAAGTGATCGGTGTACGAATACTTTCTACACCCACTATAAATCGCGTACATAATAAATTAAGTAACATTTAATATCTGAAGGGACAAGATTAACAAAGAGATGGACAAAAGATTTATACGTAAAATTCAGTTTTAGACGACAGGTCGTATTGGATTGGTTCATTCTTATACATTTCGATTGTCTGAAACATAAATATATTTTTGTTTAATAATTTTACGTAAACACATTGTTGACCGGTTATGTAAAAATTGTTAGCGTTACCTTATGAAATCTGTTAATTCGTAAAATGACTAGCTAAATTCAGAAATAATCTGATTTGTTTACGTAGGTTTACGGGACGTGCCATTTTGACACATTTCGAATTTTATAAGGAAAATTATCAAATTTTGACAAATAGCCCTTCTTCATCGTCTAAATATGTTTAAAAAAGGAAATAACATTTTGAAAAAAATAATCAGTATAAATAAGGAATGTTCTGATACGAGCTGTATCTGATCCGCGGAATAAATGTAGACTATTAAAATAATCTTATTATTAGTACTAAAATATTATTACTTAATATAAATTTTATATAAATATATATAAATAATATCTTACATTTTCATTTTTAAGTTTATAGTGTATAGTTTTATTGCTTTTTAGGCTATTTTAATAAAAAAAAATGTATATTTTCATTAATTGTGTCAATTCAACGCATGTTCGTAAAGGTTTCATATATATATCTATATAAGAAATGTCCGTAAACCTTGTGCTAAATATAAAAGAAGGTAGAATTACATACTTCAACTATATAATATCTGAATTAACAATTAGCAAGTAGTTAAGATATAAAATTAAAATTTGATCCGATAGATAGCACGATTAAAAGAACACAGTTTTTTGTAGAAACAATTTTCAAAGTACAAAAAGAAATAAGAACAAATAACTACGAACATTGTTGTAGTAAGAAAAACAGACTTAAAAGACGGATAACCTTAACTATTCGCCTTTCGTGAATTTCCTCGTTATTTCTTAAAACTAATAGTTTAAATAAAATTCTTTTTATATGCTTTAGTTCGATATGTAACATGAAAATTAAATCATTAGTATAGATTTCGTCCTACAAAGGCAAGCGATATTTATGTTACAGTACTATCTGTAGAAAATATAATGTTCATATAATATAATGTTCACATAACGGGTGTTTGTATAATGGAGATTCTATAAATATCATTTATATTAAATTCCATACATAACACAAACAATATCCCAATAACTCTTACACAATTGTATACTTCAATTAATAACATTAGTTGTATACTACGCGCATGCAAGCATACGAGTATAGTCGTAACCGGTCAACAATATATTAATAATTACAAAGCATACTTACTTTACAAAATATAATTTTAGTTTTTATAAAAGTTTTACAATTAGAGCTAAAAATGATTAATACGAAGATCTTCTCAAAGTTTTATCAAGTAAGTGACAACCGTGAGAAATATATATATGTAATATTAGAAATAAAATTTTATACATAGGTGTATAAACACTTACCGCTTCAATATCTTTATCCAAATTGGCGACCTGTTTTTCGTGCGTAACTTTAAGCTTCTCCATTTCGCGACCTTGCTTGATTTGTACAGTTTTTCTTTCTTGCATGAATTTTTTCGTATTTTGTTCTTTTTTTTCTCGAAGCCTACGATCCTTATCACCTTTTGTTTTAAGAGCTTTATCATTCATCACTTCTTTCGCTGTTTCTACAGATATCTTAGCCTGATTTGCATTCATGTCCTTGATATCTCTGTGATCGTACATAATTTGTTATTTTAATCATCTGTATATATATCTACACCTATGTATCTATAATTACAAAGTAGCTATTTCAATCGCAATAGCAACCACATATTATCCTAATGCTAAATATATCAATAAGCTGAATGTTCACTACAAAAAAATAATAATAATTTATAATAATATTAATTCTCATTATTACTTGTCGTGTTTTGCTTGTAGTTGTTTTACTTGCGACGCTTGGACAATTTCGATAAGTTTTTTGAATTCATCCCGTCCAACTTCAGTATGATTTTTCAACATCTCCCACTCCTCTTTTCTATGTCTTTCCACCATAGCTGACCATTGTGCTGTTTGCTCACTTATTACCTTTTTCACATTTGCGTCTTGGACCAACGCACTTTTACTAAGACAATAGTTTATAATAGTTATTAAATCTTTTTCTATAAATTATTTGTATCTATTTTTGTAAATATATTTTTCTTTTTTACAAAAGCTCTATCAGACTTTCGAAACACCAATATTTCGAAACACCAATGTTGTGACCATAAATTGTACTCACAGTAACACCTAATATCCAACCATTTCCAAAAAAAGAAAAGTTCTAAGCCTAATATGACGACTTGCTACACTCTGAAAATTACGGTTTCTCTAAACACACATAGTGCAGTTAATATTTGTCCTATTTCAACATACGAATATAGATCTTTGTCTAACAATAAGTGTAATTGAGTTATGGATTTAAAAATTTGCATAAATAACAAATGTAATTGCTATTGGAGAGTATACTACAACGTGTTTTTCGTCGATGCGATATTAGAATTTTGTTTCAAAGAGTTCTATATATGATAATTACGAGTAAACCTACTCTAATTTAGTTTAAATTGTTTATTGAACCTTTACATAATAAAATATCTAAAAATTAGCTGTAGAATTTATTTTTTGCTGATTTACCTTTTATCAAGAATTTTATACGGCAATGCGCTACAGTACTTGTAAAGACCTCCTACTTTATCCACTATACTTTATGTAATTATAAATAAATATAATTAAAAATAATTGTAATATTAGATCAAAATAGATAATTCTATAAAAAAAAATATTTTCAAATATTAACATTTTTTAAATAAATTTTTTTTTACTAATTTTCGAAAATATTGAATCAAATTGTAGTAAAATAGTCAACCATTTTCCGTTCGCTATTTTTGTTTTTGAATATTTTTAAATTCATTATCAGGGGACCCAAAAACTCTCAAATACAATTTTTCAAAAACATTTAGCTATATCTTTATATGCATTTTACGTTTTCGGGATTTGAGAAGATATTATTGTACGATGAGCTGAAAAGGTTTGATCCTTAAACACGAGAGGGGTTGTGAAGTTTTGAGCCTAGTGCAAAGAGGATTGGAAAGATGTAAGCCTAATACGCGAAAGTAGGTCAAAAAGTTTTAAGACTAGTATAAGATGGGTTGAAAAATTTTGAGCCTACCTCGAGGAGGATTGAAAAGTTCTGAAACTCACACACGAGAGTGGGTTGTTTTAAAGTTTTGTGTTAGATTCAAGACTTTTCAATTAACTCTCCTTTAGGCCTACAAGTTTTCAAACTTCTCGCTTGTTAGGTTTAAGACTTTTTAGCAAACCGGCGAGTATTGGGCTCACTACAGAATTTTCCGTTTTTTTGGAAACAGTTGAGTATTATCTCTTATTACTTGCATAGTGCATAGTCCTAATGAATTTCTAGAACGATGTATAAAAATTTAAAAAAAAAATATAGAACAGATACTTACTCTTTACCCTTTATTAATTTTTCGATAGCTGAACAATGATTTTTCTGCATTGTTTGTTTTTCTTTTTGATGCTTCTTTCTCATTGTATCCAATTCCTTCAATTGTTTTTTTCCCATCTTGTATGTTTTTTCTCTTTTTAGCGTATCTATCGTGATTGGTTCTGGCTTCCATTCCTCTTAAATTGTAATTTAATTTTTAATTGAATCCGTAAAAAAAATAATGGTAAATTTGTATTTACCTTTCTTAGCTTCTTCTTCTTTTTTCTTTTTAGCGTCAGCTTTAGCATCGGTCTGTTCAATTCCAAGTCCTTTCATGGTTTCCGCTTGCTTCTCCGCGCCTTTACTAAATGCACCCGGATCCGATAGCATGGCCATGAAATCTAAAATTCATATTTATTTGCTCTCCTCTTAGCGTTTCAATTTTCAAAGAGATATACATTACAAATTTTATTTCTCATGAATCTTATTACGATTACCTTCGAATCCATCTGGCACATAAATCTTTAATTCGATGTTACAAAATAACATAGGCAATGCCATTGGAAAATTAGCTTCAGTTTTCAACGATATATGCCTGTAGCCAGCTTGAAGACCATCCAATGGTAAAATTCTCTGTCCAAGTAATTTTCCACTTTCTTCGTAAACACCTTAATGTTATAACAAGAGATAAATATATAAAATTATTTTATCAAATAACTGATGATTGGTATCATTTGTTAAAATAATTGAAATTACCGATTCTGAGGACAGCCAAATCAGGTAATACAACTTTCCGAAATAGAAATGGTTCCTCGTTGTAGACTGGATTCAAACCATTTCCAGGTACCATTCTTGTTCTGAATTCTTTTTTTATAGTATCGGCCGGTAGACCGTACATGTCTACTTCAACATAAGTTCCTACTTTTTTATCTGACAAGAATTGCCCTGCTATTATCTGTTATTAAATGATTTAATCTTATTTGTGCACTTTCTTACAACTACTTTATCTTAGAATATTATTTTGTATTTTTTATTTTGTGTGTTTTTGACAAATATTTTACCTGTACGGAACACTGCGCAGTGATAACACCATCCACATCTTCGGAGAAAGGATCAAAATTACGATCGGGTCGTCTCATAAAGTCAGGTTTCAATAGGTATCCAGTAGTTCCATTGTACTCGAATTTACCTTGATTTAATTGCATAGGTAAATCAGGGGTTTGAAAGTTCAGTGCCACCATCTGACAACCAGCATTCCAGAATACCTAGAGAAATACAGATTTTTATTGAGTCGAATTTTGGATTAATTCTCAGACTAATTTACTTTTTTTTTAGCTAGATTTTAAATTTAAGATTTTCATCATTATTATTATCTGCACACATATATTAAATAAATATTATTAATTATAAATCGAGCTAGATATCGAACGTAATAAGTTTTTAAACCTGTGGCATATAATTTGAAGAATCAGCTCTTGTTCCTTTCGGATATATTCGACTCATTTGACGTTTGTTATAATTTACAAACTCAACCGAGTGTGTTTTTAAATAATTCAAAGCCGCCGTCTCAGAGAACGAAGACATATTATGATGTATATTTTTTTCTACGATAATAAATAGAAAATGAATAAAGAAGATTTTAATTGAAAATGATTTAAAAAAAAAAACATGAAATAGAATAATTTCGATGACTACGTACTTTCGGCTGTTTCAAAGCTTTGGAACTTAATTGGTTGAGCATAATTGATCATCGATGATAGCCAAGGATGACAAGCCATTGTACTACCTGTGTATTGAATAGGTGGAGCTTCACCTTCGGCACCACCTTCACCTGGAGGTGCACCTTCTGCCGGTAGTGCTTCTTCCTAAAAAATATTAATAATATTTTCAAAATATAATCATTTTTAACACGTTACTAACTAGACATTTTATTCTTAATTATACCTACTAGCCAGATATTTGTTCGCGTAAAATATTTGTAAATTACATGTACTTCGTCAAATTCAACATAATTCAAGAAATATGTCAAATTTCAAAATACACATTAATTATAAATTTGTATTCACTACAAATTTGTTGTAAATATGATATTATTTTTTTAAAGCATTTTTAATAAAAAAAAAAAACTTTAAGTATCATAATCATCTTTATTGATATCAAGATTTTCATCATTATTTGGTATACCGAATAAATTGCTCGTAAATATTTATAAAATATTATTAGTGTTTTTTTGATTATTCATATTGAAATGATTCAAAAAATTAAATTACCAAAAAACTTTTAATTTTTGCTCTGTGTTATTTCATTGCAATCACTTTTGACAAATACATAGAAAATGTAAAATATTTTATCATTCATCCTCATAAATTTATTTTCATTTTATTTACCTTTGGAGGTTCTGGAGGTGGAGCTGCCGGAGCACTGGCATCCTCAACAACTTCATCTTTTGCTTCAAACTGTCCTGATCGAAAGAGTTCCAGTTCGACTTTTTCAACTTCAGGCTTCAATCTTTTGTTCTTAATTAATATTTTACGTTTCAAAGCACTTGGGGGTGGAAGAGGAGAACCTGGTTCGAGCTAAGTTCAAACGAAAAAGAAAAATACCAATTCAATAATTATTCTTAAGACATTTTAATGAAAAAAATGATCTAAATTTAATTACCGGATAATCTTTCAAAGGTTCCTTCAAAAGTAGGTCACCCAATATTTCATCACAATACTTAGCCAATTTGTACTGTTGTTTTAGACAACAATGATTCTCGAAGCTAAGAATAATTGGATAATCGGATGTAACAAAAGCTGTGTCTCTGAGAGCATAAATAACATCCTTAAAAAGAATATCTGTACACATAGCTTTTCCATGAGTTATTATGGGTTCTTCATCTTCACCTTTGCCATCCCAACAATCCAATTCAACACACCTATAAAAAGAAAACAAAAATAACAAAAATAATGATTTTTGTAATAGAATCTTTAAAAGATCTTAAAACACAATTATAAGCAATTCATTGTCAGAATGTTGTTTACCTGCAACCTGCAAGCAACACTTGTCTATACATCTCTACTGTACTTTTTCCACCAATTTGTCTTCCACTGAGATAAGTATTGTGACTCGAGTTAATATAATAATGAGCGAGTGGTTGGTCCATGTCCATCCATTCTTCTAATTTATCAAGAAACACTGGCGCATTTTCGTCGGACATCAAATAACGTATGAAACCATCTTTTGTTAATCTTTCTACAAATATTTATATTACGCTATTAAATTAGATAAATTTTTTTCATGCTATATTGTTTTAAATACATTTAAATATATTTTTAACTTTTTTAAAAAGGATTTTGTTTTCGAGAAAAATAAAGAAGACAATTTGTCCACAATAAAACAATATATGAACCATTTTAATTTCACATTTTCGACTTGGTATTTAATGTAGAATCAATCCCTGTTCGCTTAAATCACTACTTACAGAGCATCCTGAATATGTGCTGATAAATAGCGGAATATGAGTCAAGAAAAATATTTATTTTTTCAATTTTTGGAATTAGTCCACTATCATAACTGACAAGAGGGAAAAATATTATACGTGTAATACTTACTTTCAGATTTTGCTTTTTCATCTGTTTCATAATCGTTTATAATTTCTAAACATCTTTTTTCATCATAAAGTGGATACAAGATTTCGTTTAATCTTGGATCTCTCTGTTTTTCGTTCATAAATGTTACCAGTTGCTCCAGTCTTATGGAATCGGCTTTTCCTTTTGTTCTGAATACAAAAAATTAAAAGAATGGATATGTTTATATTAAAAATATATTGTTATTAATACTTACATCGATTGGAAGAGTTCTTCGATATCATTTCTAGGACAAATTTTGAAGTACAGACTGTAAAATTTCTCAAAAGTAAACGCTTCCGGTTCGATTTTATCATTCTGAAAAAATATTTAAACAATGACAGATACAATGAAAATATAGATTATTGAACGTATGTAACTATAAGAGAAATTAGTTTTTAATGAAATTACCTTTCCATTGGGTAAACCCAAGTCAGCTAATCCTTGATAGACCAATTTTTCTGTTTTACCTGACGCAAAAGTCTTTGATATTATCTTTACAGGAACTTTTCCTTTTGGATCTACTTGACTTCTTAATCTCATCCAACTATATAAAAAATATAAAAAATTAAAAAATTTAACCATTTTAAATGGATTGCTATGGTAATAAATACTTACTGTTTCATTAATTGAATCGTTGGACAAACATTACTGGCTTTTGTGTTATGTGTGATCAATCGTAAACCAACTTGCCAATCCTGTTAATCAGTCGTTTATATATAAACTTTTTGTGTCTTGGATAAGTTAATCTTACAAACGTATATCGATAAAAATAAATTTCTACCTTCGCTGTTTTTGCGTCGGCACATACCACGTGCTGATAATGTATATTGGTATAATCGATTCCAGAACATATAGTTAAACTTTTTTCATCCAGTTGTTCTAAATTTCCGTGCTTACTTAATTTATTACATAACTTTGGATCCTGAACAAAATTATAAATGGATTATTAAATGATTTATTAGATCGAAAAGGGTTTTAGGAATGTATTGTAGATACCTTTGGAGTTCCACCATAACGAATGTCACTGACCTGAGCTAACTCTATAACATCACCATCCTACATAAAATCAAAGAGTATATGATACTTGTTTTAATTGCAAAAATAAAATAAAAACGAAATTAAATATAAATATTAGTGAATTCAATTGTATTTACCTTCCCGTCACTTTTCCAAGAAATAAAAAATCCGTACTCGTCAACTTTAAATATACAATTAGGTTCGTATTCAGTCGTTTCTTTATCTTCGAACCATCTATCAAAAGTCGAACCATTTCTCAATAATTCCGGTACTTCTATTCGCCAATTAAACTCAAACTTTTTCGTCATATTATTTCCGTAATTCCTGTTCTACAGGGAACGAAGTGAACTTGAGTTTTCCAAGATTGCAAATGAAACGATTTCGTCTCATAATAACATCTTGCCCTAGAGATGCATAATGCAATTAGTTTAATCCAATTGATTATATCAGGATTCCCTCATGATCCGATACGGATCGATCATCGATCCGCGCGGAAAAAAATACCTAACTTATATAAGCGTCCTCATCATGTCAAATCTAATTTTAAATTAGCGCTTGCAATAATTCAAGAACAATTGTTCATTTTCTAAACAAATTTAAAATTTTCCTAAATATCTATGCTTTTTTACTGTATGATCCAGTAGTTGATAACTGAAAACAAAGACAATTTTGATGTACGGCTTCGACGAACTCAACCTTGATAATAATGAAGGGTATTTTGTTCATGTTTAGGAAAATGAGGAATTCGAATTGTAAGTTTTAGATTAGTTAAAAGGTTTAGGATTTTTTCGAACGAATGATTTTACGGGTACTGCAATAAAACAAGGAATTTCGCATAAATAACAAAATTGCATAATTATTAATGATTTTATTTTTTTTAAATCTACATTATTCGTTTATGGGACACATTGAACCTTCTAATTTGATTTTAAATTTATTATGTTGATGAGTGATTATTGAACATTTTTTAGATATACATATAAATAAGTGACGAATAAAAATTTTAGTCAAATTCGAATTATTTTTTTAATTTTAGGTAACATTCCTTTCTTTGCTATGTATTCTTCATTTAAACAGAAACGTTAATCATATTCGATAATAATTAAAGATTTATTTATTAATGACATTTCTGCATTGCATGGTATTTAATTATACTATAACAATTTTTTTATCTTAGACAATTTCCCTAAAGTTGTGTCTTTGTACTAAACTAGACCATCTTAATGATACCATAATGAATTTTATTTTTACATGATGTATAAACTATATTTTACAGAAAAGGAATGTGGACATTAATTAAAAGCTGTTCTTTTCTGTTTACAGCCACGTTCTAGACAACGATATCACTACTTTTCATGATTTATTACTTTTTTCTTTTTCTTCTTTTTCTGTCGTTTTACGTCGTAACATTGTAGATAATTGCTATATCAAAAATATCTTATTAAGTATTATTTATTTTTATTCCTAATGAAACAAGTTTTGCTTGAAGCAAGTCATCAAGGTTGCAAAAAGCGATCTTTTTATTATTTGCATTTGATATTAATTTACCGATTTTTCTTTTCTTGTTTATTTCGTTTACGTTTGTTTATCTAAAAAATCAATTGTATATATCTCCGATTTAAAAGATGAAAAGAGAACAGAAATGAATTATTGATGATCTAAGATTTTAATAGTTCATTTTCGAACCATGCATGCATTTTAATAAGAATGTAGAAACGTGTGTGATCGATAAACATTCCTCGAAAATATTTATGCATCATCATTGAGTGATATACATGTATATATATAACAATTATGGTGAATTTGATGATTCATGAGATTGATTTAAAAAAAAATATGTTTACAGAATATCATAATTGTGGCTTTGAGATAAGATAATTCGTGTTTAGTTGAATTGGATTAATCATATCTTGTTGAGGATCCTTCGTAGTTTCTTCCTCGAGATTGTGCATGGGTTCCGTACAATATTCCTGTCCGCAAAGTTTGCATGCTTCGAAGTGTGGCTTGATAGAGTTCTTCAGTTTCTAAAAATAAATGTGAGATCGAAGCAAAATAAATGCATGCGTTTCGTTTATCTAACAATTCGAAGAATTTTGAAAGTAGCTATGTATAAGGTAAGATGTTGTATTATACCTCGGAAAAAGTATTGCCTTCGGATTTGACAAACACATAGATAGCAAAAGCTGGTATGCAAATCAAAGAAAGTGATGCTATACCCCACCCGATAGCTTCTGCCCACCAGGGATATTCGTATTCACCGTTTCGATAAGTGGGTGGTTCGTAATCGATCAAACTAAAGACCCATACAGCCTGAAATATAAACAGGAACAAATGATCAATAAATCAAATTGAATGAAAAGGAAAAATTATGATAAATCTGATTGAATGTTTACTTACCAATATGAGAAGTGGTGCCGCCACGAGCCAACAAAACCGAAAATACATAGAAGGCAATCTCCCAGTCATTTCCTTGACATTATTACATAATCTTCGAACACCATAACACCAGGATATGGCAATGACTTCGAAGAAAGCTAAGAACATTATCGAGAGAGACGCAGCATAATGATCTATCAGTTGGAAAAAATAAATACCACCCTAAAATGGAAAATACGCAACGATTAAAGGATTAATTTGATTATATTATGCAAACAAGAGGATTGACGCTGTGTAATTTCGATAATTACCTGTGTGATGTTGGGCAGTCCAAAGAGAAAAGAGACTACGCATATCACAAGTACCAACATCTCGTGGCAGAGTAAACGACGTTTAACCCAATTTGGAAATCCGTCTTGAATCGATGTCACTACGACTTCAACTATAGCAAACTATGGGTAATAAAGAAATGATCAAATTCATTTGGAATTAGATATCAATGTTGAGAAAAATGGTAGAATTTTAATGTACCTGACTGTTCAACGAAAGACAGACCATCATAAAGAAAAATAATACGGCCCACAGTTGAGATGCTGGCATCTTGGCTAGAGCTTGCGGATAGATGACGAATACTAGGCCAGGTCCTTGAACGGAAATTATGATTTATCTATAAAATGTTAGGAGACTGACGTTAATCTAACGATTGTATTCAAAGAGGTATAAAAAAGAACTAAATAAAATATCTACGTCATCTCCTTTGAATCTTAAACCTGATTCATTTTCTTCGACCACAACAAGAATTTGTATAACGTAATTGATAATTCGTTAATTTCGAAACTTACCATCACTGAGAACTGCTTCGACAGACATGTTTTGTTCTCGTGCAATGTTTCCGATTGTTGCGAACGAGAAAATTCCAACGAGTAAACTGCTACAAGCATTTATCAATGAAACCGCTACAGTGTCCACCAAAATAGTATTATGAAATTTATTATAACTTGCAAAGCAGATCATTGAACCGAATGCAATACCCACAGAGTTGAATATTTGTGCTGCGGCATTGACCCATACCTTAAAATTATGAGAATAAACATAAATCATTTAACGTTGAAGTGAAATAATTTCATAACATGACAGCGATTTAACGATAACGAAGTTGAACTCCATCAAAATGTAAGAAAAGTCGAATTTTCAAAATCGGTAATTAAGAAAAAATTGATAATTATTTTCATTGTATAAATAAAAATAATTTAAAAAGCATATTTTTCTATTATAGACCCTATTATTTTTGACCATACCTTCGCGTCACCAAGTAGCTCCCAGCGTGGATGAAAGAAAAATTGGAGACCCTTGTCGGCACCTTCAAGGGTGAGGGAGCGTGTAAGGAAGACGACAATTAGAAGAAAAGGAAGTGTTGCCGTGAGGTACCTTACTTGTGCCGATGATTTGATTGATTTCCAAATCGAAAAGTATACCATGATCCAGGCTGTTATCAGACAAGCTACCAGTTCCCATCTCAGTACTCCAGGTTCCTCAATACCATTACTTATCTGAAGAACTTTGTTACTGCAAATTAAAAAAAAAAAAAAAAAAGAAATGTTTATTCGTCGTTCCAACAGAAAAAAAAGCGAAATCATTTTAATTAAAGATTTACGCGTGTTTGCTCGGAAATTACTCGAAAAAATCTTCGGAAGGTGTCTTTGATGCATTGAGCCTAGTTCGATTATCGACGATACCATTGGCTGGTAACCAACAAGCTGCTGTGTTCCACGAATTATTACAATCTGACCATGGTTGATGAGCTCTGAATGCAGCGAAAAAATAATATATTGCGTATGCTATGATCACATTGTGATAGGTCGACATTAGAAAAGATATCACCACTGATGACAGTCCAGCCCCTATAGAAATCAAACACACAAAAAAACAAATACGTGAAAATATTCTTATTGTTAGATAAGTAAGTAAATTACCGAGCCTCAATCGAGATTAATATCGTTAATTAGCTGGGTCAAATTAATGTGACAGCTTTTACACTCATTCTTTGTCCACGTTTTAACGAATTAAACTTCGTTGAGAGCAAATGTCAAGTTTTTCATAACCGTTCTAAATTCCTTGTGACGATTCAACATCCGATTGTATTTCGTAATTATTTGTTATTATTTTTATCAAACTTACCTTTGAGAAGCGGACATATTTGACCAAGAGCACCGATTGGCCCTCGTCTTGTAAATTGTCCTATGCTTAATTCCATGTACAATAATGGTACTCCGCAAACTACAAGTATTAGGAAGTAAGGTACCAGAAATACTCCTGTAAAGTGAATATTATTCACAATTAATGAAACATTCAATTTTCTATTTGTCGCATTTAATTAATTTATGGAAAACTTAACAAGATTCAGCTCGGTTGTATCATCTATTGTAACATCTATTATAGCAAACGCTAAAAGATTTTCCATTGGTCAACTTAAGAATCAGGTAACTAGTATTAAATCTGTACGATGGATTTATTAAAAGTTTCATTAAAGCAACTCGTACTTAATGCTATTCTACGTTAATCGTCGCATTGTGGGTAATTCCAAGGTCACTGGATATAACTCTTTATTCGTAATAAACGATGATCACTGTTACGGATTACAATTTAATTCAGAAAAGGAAGAGTCTAGAGCAGCGCTATCCAACCGACGGCCCGTGAAGTAAATAAATTCTTTTAATAAAGATTTAAATAAACATTTATGCCAAACTAAATAAATAATTAAAATGAAAAAGAACGTGTTTTGTATATAAAACTTATAACAGCGCTATGATGTTATAATGTTCTTAAACTTACGATTACACTAATTTTTCACGTGGTATCCAGTAAATGATCTATTTTTTTTGCCCTCCAAAAGGATTTGCAAAAGAAAAAATGATTCGCGGATTATACCATTGATAGTAAGAAAAATTGGATAACGCTGTTATAAAGTAATACAAATACAGTGAATGCTTTTTCAACTAATAAACAATTTTAGTACAAAAATATAATAAATTTGATTTTACAAAGGAATAAATTTGTTTGAAAAATTTGCAGTAATACAATTCACTATAAAAATAGAAAATTAAATAGAAAATGTTAGTGAATACTCGTTGATACCTTGGTTGTTTATCTCTCTCTCGATCAAGTTTTATAATAAAACATAATAAAAAGCACATTTATGGGATAAAAGAATAAATTCGTTGGAGAAAGTGTTAACACTAATCTGTTCTTTGTATTATTACGAACGAAAAAAACTTCCGTAAACAATCGTCACCGACTTACTCAAGAATATTGAAATGATTTAATTTTTTTTCTCTATCTCTATATGTATGTTTACTTTTTTCTCCGAGACATTTACAGCTTGGTGGTTATCCTATTGTAAACAAGTCAGATTTAACGCGTGCCTCGTAAGAATATTTAATTAATATTTAAACAATTTTATATTAATTATTTATTATTATTAATTATTCATTATTCATTATACATTATTCATTATTATCGTTTGTTCATTAAATTGAGTTCTCTTTCTCTCACCGTTTTCTAATAATTTGTTACCAAATCAAAAGTGGATTTTTCATAAACAGCCAATTTATTCTCTATTTTTTATTTAATATTTAAACTAATTATTTATTAATTATGTATTTCTTTCACGAAATATTACTTGAACTAGTTCTTACCGTCGTTGACGATGAAACGAGATGAGACGAGAACACGAGAATCTGTGTTAAACGACCAATTAATTGTCAACAAGTTTATTAATATTTAAACAAATATTTCTTAAAAGTTCATTACTTTTTAATTATTTAGCAAGCTTTCTCAAATCACAAGATCTTCCTTAAGCATTTGTATAATTATCAGTAATTTGATTAATATTTAAATAATTTTCATTAACTCAATTGTCGTTTTGTTGAACTGGTCTAGAGTGTACCGAAATAATTGATAAGCTTAATTAATCCGTTCTAAAAAACCCTATGTCTATGCACGCGTATGTTTATATATATATGCACGATTTTTTAATAATATACCTAACGTAAAGATCTTATGTAAATTTTGTAAGATCATTGAGAATTGCTTTTTCAAAGAATTATACAAATTTATCCATGGTAAACGAACCTTATCACGAAGAGGCATGTTCAAAGTGTTATCTCGTGGAAAATACATTTTTCATGATGAATGTAACTCACGATTCCAAGAAATAAATTAATTACCAGAAATAAATGCAATACTTTAGAAATAAATCATTTTCTAACATTTCTTTTTTCTAGGATCATTCCAAATGTTCTGATTCTAATTTTTCAATAAAATAAACGTGAGAATTGAAAATGACTCGTCAAAGTGCTCATAAACACAAATGAAGGACGCTAATTGTAAGCGTAAGAGTTTAGATCACGTAAACGTTTCACGTAAATTTGCTAAACTGAATCTCGTATGTTGGATTAATTCCTCTTTAAACGTAGCATCCGAGAGCTTAAAAAACAGAGAGAGAGAAAAAGAGAGGAAGTTATTGTTCCTCTACGATGCAAATCAGTCTGTGGCATTCGATCTCATTTTCCGGTTGCACGTCTCTCTCAATTCGAATGTATGATGAGAGACTCGAACAAAATTATACTCTAGGTCCGATTATTTCCACCGGTGTCATTGAAATCATTTACGGTGGTATGTTCCTCCGATGTAACCGAGTTCTAGCAAGGTCATGTATCAAGTTCCGAGAGAACGAATTGCGCCACTGCGTCCGGAGGCCGAGTGGTCTTTCAGACTTTGAAAATTATCCGCAACAAGATACACGTAAGTGCACGGTTACGTTAAGGGCATTTGGAAGTACCTATATATATATTTTTACTTATGTACAAATGTGTCGCAAGTATGTATGACAACAGGTTTGTTTTAAATTCCTTGGCCTCGAATTTTCATCTAACATAAGTCTTACTTAAAACATGTTCTATGATAAAAACACATTTTATATATGTACATACATCCTCTCCACACCCGCATCCCACCCCACTCTATTCAAATAATACTGCCTTTATAACAGCTTTTTAACTCTCGATGTCGTAACATTAGGAAATGTGCATATATATACGATTAGATTTAGTAATAATACTTTGTATGCGTGTAATAATACGTGTATACTTCAGATATAATGTTGCGTTACTCATGAACGTGGAATGGAACTCCGTTTAATTGCCCGGAACCGTGGAATGCTCGAGAGATAATGAATAAAAAGTACAATCTGCGAAGTTGGTTGGATTCATTCATATTTTCAAGCAACGATTGACTTACAAAAAACTCCAAAATAAAATATTATTTTTAAATGTTACTACCTATACTCGTGTTAAGACGTAATCTTCACCTTGAATAGATAAGGAATAAAAAGAATAATCATTTTTGCGTCAGGTTAAAAAATTATACTCGATTTTCATCTCATCCGTTTACTTTGACACAATTTTTTGCAATTCTAATCTCTCAACGTACGTATCTCGTAATCCCTTTGGTAGCGTCTTATGTTCTTTAGATTTGTTATCTTTGAAAAGTAGATACAAAAATTTTAAACCAAAAACAAAAAGAGGATAATGATTCTAAGAAATACGTAAAACTTACGGTGCCTTGAAGAGATCTCAGATGTTCAGGTGACGTATTTAGCACAATTGATGATGCGACAAATAAATAAACGCATCTTTCTTTTATCGCTATGACTCTAATCACGAAAGATACGTGACGACACAAGGAGAGTTTATTTGACGTAGGCGAATCTGTTTTTGGATCTTTTAAAAGACGTAACGATAATCTACTAAAAGGTTTTTACACAAGATAAGTGTAATATTTGGATTTAATGCGTGTGTATGTATTTTATTTATTTATTTATTTTTAGTTTATTTGTTAATTTTCTTTTATTTTAATATACTATAGAATATTTATTACCATACTATAGTATATAATAAAAAATATAGTAAAATAATAATAAAAACATAAGAAATAAAAAGTATCTATGCATAACATATATTTAAAATATATATTTTAATTATATTATAGTATAGTAATATACAATTGATATATATTTATTTACAAAATATAATATATACTCACCACCACCACTTTTGTAGCACAAATAAGGAAACCTCCAAACATTTCCTAGGCCAACCGAATATCCGATACAAGCAAGGACAAATTGAACTTTATTAGCCCAATGTGGTCTTCTGGGTTGTCGATAATCTCCAGGATCGTCGCCATCGCCATCATCGTAACTTGTACAAGTGGATAGATCATCTTCAATGGAACTGCACAAACGAACGTGACAGTTTCGAGTCAATGTTGACAATAAATAGGATCAGGTAAATGCAAAGTACGTAGAATTATATGTAATATATCGACATGTGCTTTTCATTATTTTAGGAAAAGGTCTCTCGCATAATATTTTTCATGATCAATATTTTCTTGACTAATAATATAATTGCAGTGTCGTCATTTAATCGTAAGTTTCAAATCCAGGACAAGGTAATTGTTTGGCTTTGTAAATCTTTTTCTTTTTCGATGTTCATTGTAATGATAAAAAAGATGAACTATTGCACACTCATTCATTCTTTCATTTACTTGTTCATTCGTTCATCATTTATTTATTTGTTTATTCTTGTTCTTACTTGCAAGCTTTAATTGATTCGGTATTACAATATTACTATTATTATTAGTAAGTAGGTGTACCGTGTAAGAATAAAATTGATTTGCGTGAGAATATGAGGTTACAAGCCAGGCAGATGTCATTAAATACGTTCCGGATTAACATGCGACATGCGAGTAACAATCATTCCTTCGATTTCTTTCGTATTCAAAAACTCGTTTCCTGTTTACAATAATCCTAGAATTAAGGATGTAATATCACTATTCAAAGGAGAGAAGCTAATATACCACAATGTTCGAATTATAATTAGCTTGCATATGATTCATAGTTCGCATTATATATTATATATCTAACATACAAATTGAAATTAAATCTTCAAATTAATTTTAAAATAATGATATCATTTGTATGTGTATGTACAAATTGGATGAAGATTGATCTTTTTTTATTATTATAATCATATCTAATATTATACGTGTCTATATATATATATATATATATATATATATATATATATATTATAATGTTAACTTTTAAATAATATATCATATATTTTGTATTAATAATTAATTGAAAAATAATGATTTTTATCGAATTACGCAAATCATTTGAGACAAATAAAGAATAGTTTTGTGGTAAGGAATGAAAGATTTAAAAATTTCGTAGGTCGAAAAGTTCGCAACGTAAACGAGTTTGTTTTTCTATCTCTCTCCCTCTCACTCAAGAGGAATTTCTCGTGTGAAGAGGAAAGCCTTGTTAAAGGGTAAGTAGATCGAGTAGAATCAATTAAGTAGAGAAACGCGTTCCGTCCTATGACCTTGTCACTCGATATACCTAGATCGGATTATCTAACAATAAGTGTTAGAAGTGTGAATAAAAATTTGTCAGAGTTTTTTTTTGCTTTTTTATGAGCCCTCTCTCGATTGATTATTATTTATAATATTGATTGTAAGCGTGAACGGGCGCGGAATGTCGGAGCTTAAACGATGAACGAGGACTCATACGATGATCATATACACTTAAAGAGAAACTGTTTTAGATGTATATAACATTGATGAATCTATACATCTACATGTAGCACACTTGAGTATACATACACTATCTCGAACACATATGTTTTATAATCGACAATTCATACTTATCGTGGGATGATGAGCATGCATCTAGAAATAATTTCATACGTGAACGTGCATATAATAACATAAATAAGTACATTAATTAATCATGTATTGTCGATATGAAACGTAAAAATATTCCATAAGTGTTAAGTAAGTATATACATTTCTAACGAGCAACTCATCAATCTTACAACGAAGAATTGAAAATTCTTTCAATACCTCTATGCCTACACAAGCGGACGTAGGAAGTTCTTTGGATCTTTCTTGTAAAAAGAAAAAATAGACAGCAATAGTCGTCAACATAAGTAAAAAGAATTTGAAAAGGAAAAACATGACACCGCTTTAAATAGCGTACCATCAGTTACAATGAAAGAAGCAGGACAGCTACAACAATGTACACCTACTTACAACAAAAGTACGGGGCTTACATTGTACACCTATTATCCACTTACGTCTCTGGGACAATACAGCGGAATTGCAGTCCCTGGATGACGAGACCACGCTTCACTAGTAGTTCAGAAGTACACCTCATCTATCTTTCTCTATCTTTCTTTCTCTTTTTCGTTCTCGCTGAATTTCTAATTAACATTAAATGTAAGATAAGCTCACAACAGAATTTGTAATCTTAATTTTTAATTATCTCAAAAGAGAACAAGATTTTTCTGTCTTTTTCTTTCAATCGTTCTTTATACTCTTTTATCTCATAATAAACGTAACGCGACGTTTATTGCGTTTCTCTTCCTTGGCGCGTGCAATAAACATTCATTAATCGCTATATTCTTTACTTTAACTGCAATTTTCTTTCAGCGTAACAGAGTGACAAATGTGAAAGTTAATATGTATATGTGCTTATGTAAATACATTCGAAGTTTAAATCATAATTCTTAAGTAAACACATAACAAGAAGTAACTAACGAAATACAGAAAACTTTCAAAGAGAATCGTATAATGACGTGTCGAAGATGTACGAGTACGGAATCGCGCTAAGCACACACGTTGCTTAGAGATTCCAATTTTAAACTGACATACGAATCAAAAAGTGATCTTATTTTTATGCCAACTGCCTTCAGTAATGTTTATTCGGTACGTTAACGAGTGGCCGCGAAAATACTCGTGACATTCGCACTTCTCTCGTTCTCCTTATTTTTTCCTTTTTTACTCCTCTTGTATTTGTATAATAAATTGGTGTTAACGTCTTTTCTTTTGACTTTTACATCCTATCTTTGAAGATAGGATACATTCTTATACATTCTTATTGATTCATAAGTTGCATAATTTATCATAAAACCATCAATTGCTAATAAATGAACAAACAAAACAAATGATTTTATCAGCATCATTGGATAATCGTTCAAGATCATCTTTTTGTTACTAGTAAAAAAATTTATATAACATTATTTTGTGCGCATAGGCGCTCTAAAAAATTATTTTTAAAATATTATTTACGTATGATTTTTTGGAAGAAACATAATATTTGTTTGGAATAGATAATCATTTAAACTTAAACAGAAACATGCACTAAATTAAGAACATTAGCTATGGCGTTTAACTCAATGCTTCGTAAGCGTGACAGTATATGGATGCTCCATTAAAAAGAAGGAGGAAAAACAGTAGAACATGTGACATTTGTATGATAAAGACGTCTTTTTCATGGACCATGAACCATATAATCAAGATAGGTTATTAGCGATCTCGAACATGACATGCTTCAATTTTCATACGAATCTCGATTCCGTATTTTATCTGACAATGAGAAAGTCAGATTTGAAGTGTTACAAATGAATTTAAATAAAAAAGAATTATTTATTTTGAAACATTCAACTGAACAAAGACCACGTGTTAAGAGCAATAAACGACATGCATTATAAAGATCTCATGTTTGTGTTAAAATGCATTAAAATTAAAATATTAGTTTGTATAAGCTATTAAAAAAAGAACACCGAGGATTAGTGTCAGCAGGTTAAAAGAAAGAACTGTATGCACTTTTTCCAATATTCAAATTAACTCCGCAACTTTCTGAAACTCTTCCAAAGCTTTTATCAAACCACGTTAACATTTTTTTTTTATTTTGTGGAAATTAAATTCTAAAACTGCATAATAAAATATATAGTCACATATCGAATTCTCGCATGCACTTATAGTATTGTGCCAATTATTATGACAGTGACTAACAATAGGTTACAAAATAAATTATATGATTTATTTTATAACATAAATAATAGTTATATAAGATAAATTAAAAAATTAATATTCTTTTCAATTTTGTAACTTAATGCACTGTCATGATTACCGGAACAATTGTTAAATAGAAAAGTTGAGATTACACTCCTAGAATCACTCGAATCACTCGGAGTTTTAATTAAGCCGTTCACAGATCAAAGTGATTAACTTCACTTATCGAATTTTTTAAAAATACTTATCTTTTTATATTTATAATAAACGTCCCTTAATAATAAGGCTTAACACTACTAAATGAGAAAAATTTTTATGGCTATTCAATATTACTTTATCAATTTTCTCTACTTTTTCTTTTGTGGAGTTAATCGATTTGGTAAATGAATGACTTTATTGAGCTATCGTAGAAAAGAAAATAGATCTTGATTCATATCGAAAATCTCACGAAGATGCTAGGATAGCTGGAGGATCGTAGGTAATGTGTTCACTTACGGCGGCGGATGTACCAAGTTAAGGAGCTCCGACGGCGAAGTGGGAACTCTACGTATTGTGAGCTTCCGTCCATCAGAAGAGCCCATGCCGATCGATGCTAGAGAGCGTATGGAGACGGAATCGGTGAATGGACGACCAACCTGGCCGTTGGCATCGGAGAAAACGATCGAAGCCCAGCTGGCAGCTGGTGGTTGATGTTGATGGTAATGATGATGGTGTTCGTCCATTGTGGCGTTTGATTTCAACGAACGCATACTGGGGTAACGATGATGACGAGCAACGTGATGATCGATCCCACGACTGCTTCGTCCTGATTTTCCTTCTTCACTCGATCTACATAAAAAATATTGATTTCCGATCGAGTAATTTCCTATTGGATTGTAGTATTATATCATTATAAGCAAAACACTTTCTCGAATTCAAAAACAAATAATGATAAATTCGTATCACTTTAATGATGATTTATCTGAAATACTTTTTTGAAGAAAAAAATGAAATTATTAATAGTCAAGAAGTTTAAGTTAAAAAAAAAATACTAAATCGGGATGTATTACATAATCGGTCTTGATTGATGAAGCCTTATTTGGGACTTGTCGTGGACACTGTCGGTACTGCCGCTATGTCCGCTAGAACCTAATCTGAATTCGGGATCGTATCCAGTCAGAATCTTGCCGGCTTGGCTGATCCTGGCCTTCCTGGAAGAGCCAGCGGAACTCAATAGCCGACCCCTCTCCTCGCACGGCGAATCTGAATCGACGTCTTGCTGCGACTCTCGATGATGACCATGAGTAAGGTGATTATGTTGATTTTGATGATGATGATGATGAAGATGATGATGATGATATTGTTGCTGTTGCTGTTGCTGTTGCTGGGCACTTTTAACGACATCCGGATCGAGGTCGTCTGAACCATCCTCTTCCTCGGGCATAATGCTCATTTTTCGTACGCTTTGTAAACGTCCGTTATTAACGTGTTGTTGTTTAGCTAGTTGGCAATTTTTATTGTTGCCAACGTCGGTAATCGTCACAGGACCACCATTGCTGTGGCTGCTACTGGTGCCGCTACCGTTACTACCGCTGCTGATGTCCATAATAGCATGACTCTCAGGTAGATTCTAGTCGTTATGAGCGTATCAACCCTGAAACACTAAGGTGGATGAACCGCTTGAGCGAATTACGTCCGGTATCTACGTTCCACGTGCAAGTTTAACTTGCCTTCTCTTCTTTCTCTCTCTTTCTTTAGCTCATATTTTTTCTCTTACAATCATAATCAGAGTAGGATCGAGTTATACTTGCTGCGTATTTAGAAATAAGAGCGATATTGTTTTATCTTTTCTAAACGTATAATAAAATTATCCGAGTATTAAGAAAATTATAAAAATTACGTAAAACTCATCAACAAGTGGTTTTCTCTGATTCTCTGCACGATACAATAATTATCGATCAATGGAGTATAAAAATGGGACTGAATAAAAATACGTAACGTTTTAATGCTATAAGCTATTTGCTTTTTATTTAATTATAAGAAAGTCTAAAGCCAACTCTCGTAATATAAGATACGACATATTTATCTCATATCGGTTAAATAAAAAATATTATATACGCATGTATGTCAATATATACTTTTCACATAGAAAATCAAGAAAGAGTATAAGTACTTGTTGAATGTTGATAAATTATGATAACGATATTATGAATATATCGTATCAATGTATTAGCAGGATCGTCGACGTGTCAAAATATTGATCAATCTCAAGCTATCAAAATCGAAAAAAAGACTATCAATTCTCGAAAAAATATTGTGTCTAAACATTTAAGTCAATTTTCTTAACAATATAACGTTATACTTACATGTATTGTTAAAAAATCTTTGTTTCAACAAAATAAAAATGTTTACTTTAAACGTAATTCTTCAATGGATTTTACATTATTATAGAAAACTTTTAATGTTAGATTGCAAGTTATGAAACATTAATGTACTCAAAAAGAAAAGAAAAAAAAAAGGGAGATATGTAACGAGTTAATGAATGTATCCATTATTAATACTTTCTTCTTTTTTATTCCTTTTCTTCCTAAATTATGTACAATATTACTCGAGACATTAAGGAGAAAACGCATTTCAAAATTTAAACAAAATTAAACAAATTTCAAAATTTATTAATATTTTTAGAAATCAAAATTCCTACCATAGTGTCACAAATAGCATAAAACGATCTAGAAAAATATTTGTAAAATCGATGATCTATATTAATACCCTTCGATCTTTTAACAAACTGATGAAAATATTTGCAATAGAAAAGAATATCAAAAATCCTATGGTCGATAAAATTTTTTTTAAATTGTATTCGAACCGATACGCACTCACGACTCGACACCCATAGAGTTCTATCACTATGGGTCAAAACAACGAGGGGAAGGTCGATTTATATGGTCGGCTAATAAACACGTCAAAAAATTAGGAGACCATCAAAGAAAAACATCAAAGATACGATAAACATATGTAATTGTTAAAATTGAAAGAATGATAGAGAGATAGAGATAGAGATAGAGAGAGAGAGAGAGAGAGAAAGAGAAAGAGAGATGCTCCTTACGTGGAACGTCGTAGATGAAATCGTGTTATCAGGTGGAATACCTGTCACATCGTAAGAGGCCTCGACCGGATTAAGTGCATTCCAATAGCGCGACTGAAACCCATGAGTGCCTTCTCTCTCACGAAGATAGAGATAACATTTACTTGTACGTGTAGAGAGCAAGAGAGAAAGGCAAAAAAAAGAAAGAAAAAAGAAAAATAGAGAAATAAAAACACGTATGTAAGTATAAAAAAGAGAAAGAAAGAAAGAGATACTGGGCACACAAACACGTGTGCGTCGGCACAAGATAATTAATAAAAAAGAAAAACACTTTCGAATAGCGCCGCGAGAGAACGTCCGTGGGGAGAGCGAATTTCCGGTGTGGGTGGAGATAGGATCCAAGAGGAACAAATCAAAAGAATCGTACGAATTGTTAAAGTGGAAAAATAAAAGAAAAAACAAGAAGAGAGGGAGAATGAAGGAGGGAAACAACAAAATAAAGGACAGGATGAGTCGAAACGCAATCCTACACGTTGGACACACACGACACACGTCGCGCGACGTTGTGTGCGCGCCGATCGCGTGCCGCGACTCGCGAGCGCGAGCGCGAACGCGAATACAACGCATTGAGCGCGCAAGCGCGTACGAAATGCCGCATGAAACGTCGTACGATTGCGCACAACGTTACCGATGATTAGCCGAACGCTCTGAGTCGATCCGATCGCTCTCGACTCTAGTCGAGTATCACCGCGCGATTACGCGTGAATACTTTCCATAAAAACAATCGTAATCGAAATTGTTGAATCTAAAAAATAATTGTTATATTTTAAGTAATCGTAAACTCATTATACCTTTCAATGTAACATTGCTATAATTATAATCGATTTTTCTAATTGCAGGCATTAATGATCGTAATTATTGTAACATAAAATGATATACATAACAAAAATAAAATAAACCATTGAATGTAAGATACAATTATAATTTATAAATGTACATTTACAAGGCTTATAGTTAATTATAATTTTAATATTAAAATAAGCTTACGTAACACTATTTTGAATATTGAAGGGTCATTTGAAACCCAACATTATCAATTACTTAACAAGTTTGAAAACACATTTATGTAACTTTTAAATGATTGTACAAAGATAAATTCATCTATTACTATACAGCAAATAAACTACACTCTATATATGATAATGTTCACAATATTATTGATCATTCTTTTTAATCATTTATGAGCAAATTCAGAATTATATCCAATTGATACTCATGTAGAGAGGTACGTTTTTATAATTACAAGATCAATTACTACGATTTGCATTCTTTTATCTCCATATTTAAGTAACAACTAAAGCTTAAAATCTAAAATTCTATGAATAAAAAGCAAGTCACATGAAAAATAATGAAACATAAGGTAATAAATTATGTAAATGAATAAATATATATATTGATGTATGTATGTGTTGTGTGTATGTATATGTATGTGTATGCACACACACATATATATATATATATATAATATATAAACGCACGCACACACGACGCGCGCATACGCACACCCATACACGCAACACACGATTAATACGAAACAGGTATCCAATCTATGAAGTAACAGGGATTTCTTTCTCAGACATAGATAACTTTGGCTCGTTTTGTATGCCAGGAAAACAGAAAATGGTGTCAATATGTGCATAATATATTAATCAAGAAGTCAAATCAAGCATCATATTGGGGTCTTCCAGTGCTGGTAATGGTAGTTCATTTCTTTCTTCTTCAGTTCTAACATCCGACATTTTTAGGAACTTAATCACCTTTTCAGTAGCTGCTATTCCACAACTACTTACTTCATTCTGTTATCAAATAGAAAAATAAACAGAATGTTTTAAATTAGTGATAAATGATATTATTAAATATAATATATACAATGAAATAATAGGTAATAATTACCGATGCTGTTAAATTCATAAAATTGAAAAATTTTTGAAGTACAGATACCATTGTGGAAAAGTTGTTATCTGGGAGTCTACTACGTACCAGTGACTCGTAATCCTGAAAGATATCATAGTACCTTAACATGACAATATCTTATCTTATTCTGTAATCTACTTTTGTTAATGTACTATATCTGTAATGAAGTATAAATCAAGTAATTTTTACCTTGTTATCCATTATTAAGTATCCAAGTAAGAGAACAACATATGCACCTATTAAAGTATGTTCCATATGGCGTCCAGCCTTTTGCAATACTAAAGAAAAGAATTATATAATATAATTTTTAAATTTATATAAGTATATTGTGTATACCATTAAGAAATACATGTACGAACATTTGGTAACAGTTTCTTCGATAAATTCTTCTTGGGATTTTGTTGTTGTTGATACCGTTTCTGTTTGCTCTGAATCTTTTTTACCATCCAAAATTGCATCAGTTTTTTGTTCTTCAGCTCGTGCCAATTCCTCTTGTTTATAAAAGAGATCTATCAAAGACTCTACACCACTTTCTTCAGCTATAAAAACAATTTCATTGACAAATATTATTTTATATATTTGGTAAACAAATATATTTAAATAATATATATTCCTATAGTGTTTATACAGAACACATACCATCAAAAATATTTTCTGTAGATGGAGGAGCCTTTGACTCAATAAGAAGTTGTTTATTATCATCACATTGCTCTACTAAATTTATTAAAAGAATTAATGCCAACATCATCATATCAAATCTTTTTTCTTCCGGTAGCGATTCTGGCACGCGTAATAAAAGGTATAAACTACAATCAACTACACCACTTTGAGATCCCACTAATTTGCTTCCAGAAGCTACAAAAAAGTAAATATAATTATAACAATAAATAAATCAATCTCATTATACTAGAAAATGAAAATTATAGAAAATTCAATAAGCTTACATTGTCTATTGAATCGATGAGTGAGGTTTATGAGAACTTTGATAATAGCAAAAAGACACTCTCTGACAACAGCACCAGTTGAGCTCTTATCACTTGTATCTGTAGTCGGATAAATGGGAATCTCTTGTCTACATAGGTAATAAAGACTTGCTAAAGTACTTACTAATACACCATCGCCATATTTCAACAAATATACTTGATTCTCTTCATTCATATGTGTAACCTAATTATAAATATAATATACATTATTAATAATATAAAATACATCAAATTAAATAACAGTATAATTCGCATTATACTTTATAATAGATAGGGTGGTCCTTACGTTTTCTAATACACGTAAACATCTGTCAACTTTACGTAATTTATCTAATAATGGTTCTGTCCAACGAACTCTTGTAACATCATGCACATTAATATGACGGTGACACTCCCTGATTGTTTTTATAATATGCTCTAAGCCTCCTAATTCTCTGAGTTCTTCTTTAAACCACTCTCCTGCACGTTTAGATGTAAGACTGAGAAGTGTCTCCATAGCTAATTGTCCAACCTACACAGATAAATCAATTTTAATATGTTTCATTTTGATTTAAAATTAATATAGATTAATAATAGTACCGTATAAATTACTTACAGTAATGTTATCCAAATTTAGATGTTTAGCATGCCCTTGAGCTTGAATATCAGCACACAACTGTCGTACTTTTTCCTTATTTTTTAATAATTCAGCCCTACTAAGGCCACAATCGTCAAGCGCATCTTTATGACTGGCATCAGATTCTAATAAACTTAACATTAGTTCTAAGCAATCTCGATCTAAATCCATCGCTAAACGGTCTTGACTTAACACAAACATTACAGTCGCTGTACACAGACCAAGACTCTAATCGCAACACAAAATAATATTAAAATTTATGCGTTTTTTAAGATATTAAAATAGTAAATAAGAAACATACTTGATCTTTAGTGGCATCGTGTAGTGCTTTAAAGAATTTGGCAACAGTTCCATGAGCACGTACATGCATACGAAAGGCTGGAGCCATGCATTTGCTTGCTAAGCGTATAGCTGAAAGGCAACGTGTAGCATTTGGATTATTTTCTCTTAAAGTATCTAATATATATTCAACGTCATCATTAAACTCCTGAAATTCTCCACTTTCTTGAATTTGATGGGCCTTTTTCACATTTTTTACTACAGTGTAAAACTAAAAAATTATTTTATCATCATCAATAAATCTTAATACCAATAAGTTTTATTATCTTGATATAATGTGTGTGATTTTAAATATTTATATAATATATACTTACACCTTTAACTTTTCTGCAACAACGAACACTCGTAACAGCTTCTGAATCATCTGTAAAGTCAACATCAGTTTCAGGATAAGTCACAACTCTTGTAAGTTGAGAAGGCTCAAATTCTCCTGCATATGCTTCAGATCCAACGGTACTGTGTGATCCTGAAGCTGTAGTAGGAATAACATTTCCAATATTAGGTGCATCTGTTGTACTAGATTCTTTATCACTATCGCACCACTTGTGTTTATACAATGCACGTCTTTTATTTCCATTTGTTGTTCCTGTTGAACGACTTTTAAAAATGCTACCTTTCTTAGTAACAGGCTTAGATGGTGCATTAGTTGCAGGAGTATTTAAAGTTTGCGATTCTGAAACTGTACTTGTTACATGCAGGGGCATTTCATTTTCAACATTGCCACTCACACCTTCGCTATCATCGCTACCTGAAAACCAATCCTGATCAACTAATGTCTTAGCTGCTGCAGTTTCAGAATCAGCTACATGAGCAGATGATTCCAATTCTGCTTCAGGATCTAGTTCCGCCTCAGTTTCAGCTTCTGGTTCTAATTCTTGTTCTATTTCTGCTTCTGTTTCTTTTTCTAGTTGTCTATTAGTTTCAGGTATCACTTCGTTTGTAGGTAAATCTATAGAACAATGTTGAACCTCGTCCGAAGTAATCTCAGAGTTATCTTCAACTTCAGGGACATTTAAGATCATTGGTCTTGTTTGCATAGGATCTGCATCACTCGAAAGAATATCGATAAGTTCTTGAGTCGTAGTTGGCAGTGGTTGGTCTCGTCCAATTAAAGGTTCTATTGTTGGTTTACATGGATAAGTTGAACTACAATCAGTCTTAACAATATCATAATGGGATATAAGAGTGTTATTGGAAAAATCTGTAACAGATTTTCTAAGAGTTAAGGAGAGTCCAGAACTATGTGCATTTGAAGTAGTTGACGCTGTAGTAACAGCAGAAGAGCCTGTTATATCCAGATGTAAATTTTTTGCACGACTACGCGTCGTTCGTCGCATATCAGAATTTTCTAATGGTATTGATACTGTAGATACAATAGGTTGTTGAGAACGAGTTGTTTTAAGATCTGTTTTGATTGATGGTTCTATGTTACTTTTACGTTCAATATCTATCTTAGTGGGACTAGTAAGAGGTGTAGAAATTCTATAAGTTTCTGGCTCTGGATCCTGATTATTCTGTACATCTCCACATACTAATCTTGCAGTACCCTTACATATTCTTAAGACAATGGGAGGCTTTCCTTCTTCTCTATTTGATATTTCATTTCCAGTATTATCTATAATCTCTGATACTTTTTTTGCAGGAGTATGCATTGGTTTTGGTAAGGGCTGTTTTGGCAGGGACTGTTGAGGCTGCTTTTGAGTGCGTGCTCTACTATATTGAGAATCAGGTACTTGTTTGTATATTGCCACATCTTGACGAGATTCTTCTACTACCGGTGGTACATTTCTACTTTTAAAAAATTTCTTCGGCTTTGCAACTGCCTGCGTAGTTTCTGTTTTACTAGCTGGATCAATTTCAAATGAAAAAGGATCTTTTCCAGAACTCACACGTGCATTCTGGTTACTATAATCAATTTTCATCCTTTTTGCACCAAAT